CCGCGCGCAGCCCTGGGTCCGACACGCCCCCGCCCAGGAGCCCCGCGAGCTCGCTGCCTCCTCCGCGCATAACGAGGTTACCCTCAGAGAGACGGGCTTGGAGGTCTGGGCATGAAAGGAGCAAGGCGGCGAGTGCAAAACCGGCGGCCCCGCTCGGTCTCCCCGGCGCCCTCTCCCGGGACCATCTCCGCGGGCCCCCCGTCTCTGTAGGGCTCTCGGCCACCCCACTTTATGTCAGCCACGGAGAAATGGTCATTCAGAAATGGCTCTGGGTGAATTAAGATGGAGTTGTTAGGGGCAGGTACACACCATATGTAAGAGCGCGAGGGAAATATCTGTCCCAATGCCGATGAAAGTAACGGACAAAACCTCACCCCAAAGACTGGACGGCTGTTACCAAACAGCAAGGGTTGTTACCTCCGGGTGGGGGAAGTGCTGATCTTCTCTTCCTCCTTATAAAAGCGTTCTGATCTTTCTGCGATGTCATTTTGATAAGGTAAAAAAAAACCCTCTGTCATTTACTTCTGTCAAAGGTCTGCCAGCCTCCAGCAGGGAGTCAGGGGGTGGGCGCATGCTCTTCAGCTCTTGGTCTTGGTGCCTCAGATACACTGGTGACACCTACCCTGAGAGGCTGAGGCCACCTGCCAGGATCCTGGCACTGTGCAGCCCAGGGGACTCCTGGCTGCCACCATCAACCACCAGAGGGAAACACTGCAGGAGCAGAAGGAAAGGACCACCTCCCTCTTGTACAAGTCCTTCGATAAGTCCAGCCGTCCTTATCGGGACTTGGCTTTCTTCATAACAATACCAGAGAACAGTCTTCAATTTTCATTCTTTTTTTAAACTTTCGGGAAATGAAAAATCAAGACGGAAATAGAAAAATTCCATTTTAATTAAACTGTACAGTCTGAATTTTTTTCCTTGACACTAACTGAAGTTAAAAATAGAAACCAATTTTTGCAAACTTCCAAGGCAGCCTTTGAAATGTCAAGGTTTTAAAAATTATTTTACAGCATGAATTTACATATAAATACAATCTGTACAATGTATTAACTGAGCAATCAACAGACTTCTATCATGGAGGAGATCTGGTTTTGGAACAGGCCAGGGCAGAGTTCAACTACTGCCTCCTTAGAGGAAGATGTTTTAGCCTGGAAACGGAAGTAAAAGAGAAAGAGAAGGCAAGTTAGATATGAACTGACAAGCCAAACAGCTCAATTTTATTAATGCTTCACTGTGCTACGACACTGGGATGCAGGGGTTCTTAATCGCTGCTAGTTCATTCACCCTAATACAACTGGCTATCCATTTGGAGAAAGGTAAGTTAGATGCCTACCCTACTCTGTTTGGCGGGGGGAAAAATCTACAAAAGCATGAGAATAGTTTATATATATATATATATATATATATATATATATATAAAAAATCTTGGGTTAGGGAAGCCCTTTCAAAGACAAAAATGTAAAACATACCAACAAAGAAAATTGGTAAAGTTGAGTGCACCAAAAATTAAAGCTTCTGTATAACAAAGATAGTTAAAATCATATGATAGGTAATACATTAAAACACAAAGGATTAATATCCTGAATTATTATTTTTTAATTACTAAAAACTAGTAAAACAATCTAACAGAAAACAGAACACTTGCAGGGGAACTTGAGCAAGCTATTCACAAAAGGGTACATGGCAAAGGCTGAGACATAGGAAAGGACACTCAACCTCATTAATCCAGGTAATGCAAATTAAAATGAGATGCCCTGCCCGGCCGGACGTGGCTCAGCGGTTGAGCGTCAACCTGGGATCCAGGCGATCGGGGTTCGATTCCCGGTCAGGGCACATGCCCGGGTTGCCGGCTCGATCAATGACTCTCTCGTCATTGATGTTTCTCTCTCTCTCCCTCTCCTTCCCTCTCTCTGAAATCAATAAAGATATATTTTTTAAAAAATTAAAAAATGAGATGCCGTTTTTCACCCATCATATTGGCAAATGTTTCTGTACCATTTATATTTGATATAACAAAGCGCTTCCACAATTTAAACTGATACAGCTAATTTTGGAAACAGTTGGGCAGTATTTGTTCACTCTAAATGTTCATACCCTATTTATGCTACATAAAATTATTTATATTAAAAATGCGTAACATAATGTGTGTGTACATATGTTACAGGTGTGTAGTTTTGCAAAAAATTCTTATAAGTTATATATGAAACTGAGAGCAGAGGTTACTGTGGAAAGAGAAGTTTGGGGAATTGGTCAAGAGCCACTAAGTTTTATCTGTAAGGTATAAATTTTCACAATGATAATATATTCACATATTACTTATTAATTAAAAATTAACTTTTTTTAAAACCTAGTTAATATGCAAAATTATCAAGATCTTAATGAGGCTTTGGAAGGTTTCTGAAAACCAGTCTCCCATTGCCTACCGTCTCAGCAGCTCCTGGGGTGACAAGTCTACGGTATCTTCTTCACTCTGGCTGTCACTGCTGTCGGCACTCTCAGAACTACTACTTTTCTCTGACTTTTTACTCTTTTGCTTGCCTTTGTGTTTGTGCTTCCGGTGTTTCTTTTTCTTAAAAAAAAAAAAAAAAAAGTTGCTGGCAAACACACAAGCACACACAGACTCACACACTCACACAGGTGTTTTCCTCCCTAATTCACAGCAGTGACAGGCTAAGGAGGCATTTGATTGCTGGAGTCATTCAAAAACAAAAGCAAAACCTCATTTGGGGTGAGCTTTAGCCAAGTATGGGACAGGCCAGGAACACACGGCTGTGTACACTCTCCACCATGTCCCCACTCATGGAACTGACCCTCTAGTGACAGGCACAGCAGAATCAGGTAGATGTAGACAGGATACTGTCTCGACACTTAGCCCCCATCTTATCCAAGGTGACCCCTGCCACTTCCTGTGAACCTGACTGGTCCATTCTGTTAGGCATATGTGATAAACTATACACATCAGGATGGCAAACACCCTGGAAATGCACAAAGAAGAAAATGGTAGAAAGTTAGAGAACAGCAAATACTCTGGTAAGAAACAAATGAATTTGGTTTTTGAACCTGTCAGCACCAATTTTTTTTCCTTTCACTACAAGTGAATTTCCTCATCTTCTATGCTCAGGAATCCTTTTTTCTGATAGTGAATAAGGGAGCTGTTTTTAATCACTTCTACTACTGCCCAGACCAATTTGGGTACCCAACACCAATATTAACGGAATTAAAAGGCTATGCCTCCCTGGCAAGTTTTGCTCAGTGGTTAGAGCATCAGCCCATACACCAAGGGGTTGTGGGTTCAAATCCCAGTGAAAGACACGTACCTGGGTTGCAGGTTTGATCTCCAGCCCCAGTTGGGGCGCATGCGGGAGGCAACCAATCAATGTGTCTCATATCGATGTCTCTCTCTCTCCCCCTCTCCTTCCCTTCCACTCTCTCTAAAAATCCACAGAAAAAATATCCTTAACAACAAAAAATTTTTTTTCCAAAAGCCTGTGCCAAACTGAAAAGAAGACATGGATGATGACAGAAGGGATGTCAACAGCGAATACACACAGTACTCTTTCAGGTTTTCTTTACTTCAAATGCCAAGCTATGGACCAACATCTCTATGCAATGATGACGAAGTAGTTGAGAAATGTTCAAAATAATACCTTCATTTAATATTGAATGAATAATCGAATAAAACTT